AGTGTTGGTGAGAAACGTATATGGAATTGGTCTAAAAATAGGGGTTCACGTCTAATGATGGCTCATCTCTGTCAACATCTCAAGCCATTGTCATGTGCAAAACCTAGTTGCTAAATGTATTTGTTTCTCCTTCTGATGTAAATGCCTTTACTTTTGCTCCTGAATAAGAATGTTTGATGTTGTAATTGAGGTGATTACATCATCTCACTTAGGCTTCAACAAAGGCCACAGGGTTTTTTATATGTGGTGCTTTTAAAAGAATGGATATGCATTTGCTTTTGAGACTTCAGTTCTGTTAAAGAAGATAAATATTTGTTCAATATAGGAGAAATCTTTTAGTGTATGTTAAGTATAAATAAGTAATTAGTAAACAGTTTTTAAAAGGATAGAATTCATAAAATGAGTCAAGATAAGTAGTAAATGAAGCTTATGTTAAACATAGGCAGAATGGAATAGAAAGTTCAAGATACCCACCATTCCTAGGCACTAAACAGACTTGGGACATCAGAACACAAACTGATGCATGAAATATACAAGAGGTACTGAATATTCATAGTGTACACATTGCATAAGAGCACAAAATAGTCAAGCAGCCACTCTTTTCTGTCTTCAAGTGTCTTACGTCCACCAGACAATAAGACCCATGGCTGCTTTCCAGGCCAACAGGCAAAGCACAGCTTCACGTCAGCCCTACTTGTGCCTGCATCACTTTGATAGAACAAGTGTATGTCATAGGCTGGGGCACCTTCCCACTGTGGGTGTCCTTGCTGAAATCTCTGGCCTTCAGCGCCACCATCAGCCCAAAGGCTGATGTTCCAGAGGGGCAGGAGGTGGAAATAGGTGGTGGATGGTGGCACCTAAACCACCGTGTGTGATGTGGGATTTAGGTAGTATGCTGCTTCCTTCCACCAGGCTTGCGCCCTCCCCCAACTGCATTTACTTATCCCATCTCTTTCCTCTTGATTCTCCCTGCCTCTTTGAAATTGAGTTAATAAACTTCATCAGTGACCACTGAGAGCTTTCCTGATTGTGTTCCACAGGCCATTATATTTCTGACATGGCAGCAGTTCGTATCAAAATAGAGAATTCATTTGGGGGCAATCAGGCTCGTTTTGTTTCCCTTTCCCTCATAGGAATATGTAGCTGTGTCTAGTCTCAACTCCTGTATTGAACTATAGTTTACTATTAACGTAGAAGCAGATTTTCCTCCTACCTGATCCTTAGAATGGCCTGTATACCACCTCCATCTTGCCCCCTTCAGTTCCACAGCCACCTATTATATGCCAGGCACCATCCTAGTGTCTGGGTGCTGAAAGGAAAAGTATGATCCCTTGTACAATCCCTTCCCAAAGGACAAAAGGTTTGTTAAATAAATTAATGTCTTAAATGCAACGATCTGTCTGGGGCAGTTAGTCTAATGAGTAATAAAAGAAGACAATGAACTTTTTGGACAAGGACAAAAAGGGCTTTTATGGCGGAGGATACATGGTACTCTCAGCTGAAAAAAACTTAGCTGTAAGAACTGAAAGCAACTCTGCTTATCACAGACTTTAACAAAGGTCACTGGGAAATGTAAATGACAAGGACACAGAGGTATCGAAGGCTAGAGCAGAAAGAGCCAGAGACAGGATGCAGCAGGGCAGGCTCGCTCTCGTCATTGACTCTGCATGTTGTCTTTGTTCTCTCTGCAGACCGACCCACTGACCACGTATTCACTGGGCGCTCAGGATGTGCCAGGCACCGTGCTAAGTGCTGCATAAACATCCTAGCTCTCGTGGAACTGACACACTGGAGTGGGGAGGTAGATGTTATGAGTGAGTTGGTCACAGAGCATGTTAGGAGATGAGTGCACAGGAGTTGTTGTTTTAAATAAGGTGTTCAGGAAAGACCTTACTGAGAAGTGACATTTGAGTAGACTTAAAGGAGATGAGGGATTGAGCCAGGAAGTATCTGTGGACAGAGCAGATGAAGCAGCTCTTCACATGCTCTGACATGGGAGCAAGGAGGCTGGAGCAGCACCAGCAAGGGGAAGAAAGAAAATTCTGAGGTCAGGAAGGTCGATTTGCAGCAGAACATCACATGACTTAAGGGAGCCACCAAAGCGTTCTGAGCAAAGTAGTAGTATAATCAGACTTACACTCAAACAGGAGTGCTCTGGTCACACTGTCTTGAGAACAGACTAACAGACTTAAGGCAGCTTTGCCATTTACTGTCTGACTTTGTCCTCTCTGTCTCAGTTTCCTCCATGTGTTATAAAAGCAAGAAGTAAACATTGTCTTTACTGCATGGGGTTGGCATGAAGATTAAATGAGTTAATGCATGTAAAGCATTTCCATGTCTGGCATATAATAAACCTATGCCAGTGCATGTACTTTTGCTAATATTATTATGGCTCCAAAATATGAGGTCTAGAAACATGTGGAAGATAGGGTAGGCTGAGAAAATAGGTGACTTTTTTCATAATTTCATTCATTAATTTCTTGGAGAAAGGTTTATTGAGTGGATGATTTTGCTTTTCAAGCAAAGCTCAAAAATAGTCCCAAAGACGTAAAAATTAGTATGATGGCTATTTGGTGGACATGAGTTACATTGAAACACTACAACTTGGGATTTGTCTGATGTTTTTGTTCAGGGCCCTGGTAACTTGCAAAGTCAACACCTTCAAGGCTCCCAAAGTGATAACATACTGCTTAAATTGAAGCTCACTCCCTTTTTGGGGGGCTCTTCTCTTGTGGCAGATGGTCTCTACTGCTCTGTGTTTACAGGTGTGTGTGTGTGGCATGACCTCTTTGGGGGAAAAAGTCTAAAACCTATCCATAGGCTCCAGTCTTTTGTATCCAAAAGTTCCACTAATTTAGTGAGGATTCCGGTAATTCAGTGAGCTACTAGTTAACAGCTGAGCTGTCTCCTAGAGATGTTAATGCAATCTAGAAACACAAATCAATAATTGATTTACTCTGGGACTAATTGAAATAGAGCAGAAATTTCTTTATGACATGTTTTGGTGGATTGTATGTGCACAGAAGAGCTATATGTTTTGGTTGAGGAATCAAAGTACGCAAGGCGGCATACTGTAAATAGTGAAGGCTTTGAAATTAGAACTTACTTCAAATAGTAGACTACCAGTGACAGGGACTGGAGGTAATTTGGTTTTCTGAGGTTCTGTTTCTTTAGCTATAAAGGCAAGGTGGAGCATCATGGTGCTCTAAGGTTTGCATCTGCATAGGGGCAAATGAGTCCCTAAATCCCTTCCCAGCTGCTTCACACAAATCCCACTGTTCCTTGTTCAGGAAAATCTTCCATTTAATTGGTGAGGGTCTGGCATGCTGGAATTGCTCCTAGTGGTTCATCATTATCGGCTTTGGAGGGTTAATAGCACCGGTTTCAATTTTGCTATCTGGAAAGTAAGTACTTTATGTATGTCCTGCAATTTGCTTTATTCACTGAAGATTATATTCTTTTTATTTTTTATTTTTTTGTAGAGACAGAGTCTCACTTTATTGCCCTCAGTAGAGTGCCATGGTGTCACACAGTTCACAGCAACCTCCAACTCCTGGGCTTTGGCGATTCTCCTGCCTCAGCCTCCCGAGTAGCTGGGACTGCTGGTGCCCGCCACAACGCCGGGCTATTTTTTTTTTGCAATTTTGCCGGTGCCAGGTTTGAACCTGCCACCCTTGGTTGCAATTTGACCGGGGCCAGCGTCCTACCCGCTGAGCCACAGCCATCGCCTAGAAGATTATATTCTTGAGATTAACGGATTTTAGTATTTGTAGAAGTGGTGTAGAGCAAATGAGCAAATGGTGGTTCAAGAAATCAAGAAGAGGCTGGCTGCCTGTGGCTCAAGCTGCTAAGGCGCCAGCCACATACACCTGATTTGGCGGGTTTGAATCCAACCTGGCCTGCCAAACAACGACAGCTGCAACCAAAAAACAGCCGGGCATTGTGGCGGGCGCGTGTAGTCCCAGCTACTTGGGAGGCGGAGGCAGGAGAATTGCTTGAGCCCAGTAGTTGGAGGTTGCTGTGAGCTGTGATGCCTAACACACTCTACCCAGGGCAACAGCTTGAGGCTCTGTCTCAAAAAAAAAAAAAAAAGAGAGAGAGGCAGTTCTGCAGTGGGGATGGGGCTAATGCAATGGCTGTGGACACTCAGGATCCACAGAGGTTGGTGGAAATTATAGTAGAACCTCTGCAAGTTGATCATCCAAGGGACTGTAACAGTTACAAAGGAGGGTGGTAAACACTGAGGAACTAGGCCTACTGTACTGTTACATGCATGTGGTGCATGTCCGGTCTATGAAAATTAGGTCAGTTTAAGGTACTGGTCAATGTAGGGAGGTGGTCAACTATGGAGGTTCTATGGTATATTCAATTTGGCCTCTCTCCCCCTTTAAGATGCTGCTCTTAAAATGCTCCTTGAGTAGCCTTGCTCCTTAAGACAAATGCAAACTCCGAAGTAACCCACTTTATTCTGTGGCCACCACATTGTCCACCGTTAGATAATAGCCTCTTCCTGTAACAACGTGATCCTGCTAGAATTACAATTTTTCCCGACAGCCCGCTCTCGTGTACTTCCGGTAATCTGCCCCTCTATTAATGGGGGCCTTCAGAATCCAGCTTCAGATACCCTCCCCTGATACCTTCCCAGTTCACGGAGCCTTGCGCAAGACCCGATTCCAACCCTGGGTTTCCGCCTTTTGGTCAGGCAGGCCAAGCGGACTGGTGCAGATGGGCCTGCCCGAGAGGATCTGGGTCTGGGACTCCAAGATAGGCTCAAAACTCCTCGCCCAAGTCCCCAGCGCGCTCCCTGGGTGCAGGCCCCGCCCCCGGCCCGTGCACCGCCCCCGGGACGCAGAGCGCGCGCCGCGCCGCTTCCGGCGGGGCCTGGCTTCTTCCCGCCGCGGCTGGTGCGCCCTTGGTGGCCGGCGCCGATCTTCGGGAACACTGCTCTGGTACTTGGGGTTTATCATTATTTTATACCAATTTTGACTTTGGGGATTATTTAAGAGGCCTCAGTGCCGCCTGATTTTCGTCCCTCCGCTATCCAGGCAGGAGTTTTAGGCCGCAGTGAGGTGTTTTACGCGTTGCGAATTTTTCCCTTCCTTAAAATACATTGTGAATCCTGCAGAACCTCTGAGCCCTTGAAGCAAGTGCTTACCCTTGTAGTACAGTATAGATTCGTTTCCTGGAGATTTTGCTGCTCCTTTAAAAGTCTGTGGTTTAATGCCTCTTCGAATTCATGACTCGGGGCACGATCCCCCAAACCCCACCCTAAAGCTCCCCCTTTCATGGAAACCATTCTTTCAACACAACAAAAGCGGTATGTATTGCTTCCCATCTTGCTAGACTCGCCGGATACAAGCTGCTTCTCATTAAGAAAAGAGGAATTACTTTTCCAAGGGTGCAGTGGCACGTGTAATTATGACTCGGTTTCCGTGTATTTTATTCTTTCCTCCTCTCTCCCCAGTTGAACGAGAACTATGAGCTGTATACAGAAGTTTCTAAAAGTTAGTTTTACAAACGTTGAATATTGAAATAATTTGGTTCTTGGGCAGGGACAAAAAGCAGCACCATTCCTCCCCTCAAAAGAGACATTAAGATAGTTGAATTAAGGGTACAGGGGCGTTTGCTTTCCAGTTAATAACTTGGGTAACTGATTAAATGGTTGACGCATCACCCGTATAAGATGGTCAATGGATGTTGCTTCTGCGGGCCAGTGTTGTTAGAATTGAGGGTGTTACAAAATGGTATCTGTTCCATATTTAGTTTGTACTAAGCACTTTTACGTATTACTCCTATTGAATGCTCACAACAGCCCCAGGACATTGGTTCTTACCTTCCTTACAGTGAGGGATACTTAGAAAGGTTGGGTAGCCCCCTGCCGCTTACCTACTGAAGGCTAGAGCTGGAACTTGGAACCACTTCCTTCAGATTGCTGGAGAGCTGTGCCTTGAACCACCTGTAATCCACCCTATTCTCTGCAGGTGCAGGCCTGGTGTAGTCTCCTGTCTGGACAGAGCAAGAAGTGAACAATGCAGAAGGACACTGGCCCTCTGTAAGTGCACAGTAAATGGGAATGGAGTAGCCAGGAGTTTCTCAACAACAGAGTTCCTTTCCTCAGCTGAAAAGGGCTGTAAGAGTAGGCTGCCTGGGGCAGCCTGTGGGATGGAGGATCCCGGACATGTGGGCCAGGGACCTGGATTTGGGTCTAAACTCTGCCACTGACTAGTTCTGTGACCCTCTTCCAAGTCATCCAACCTATGTAGATTTTATTTGCATTTGTGCAGTGATAGGCTGTGTCTCGAATGGTGACCTTTTAATCCCATCCTATGGTTGGTTATGTGGTTTGTTTTTAAAACATGATTGGTACTGACTTGCCACTCTTCTGTTTTCAGAGTGCCTTTGCATTGGTTTGGCTTTGGCTACGCAGCACTGATTGCATCTGGTGGGATCATGGGTTATGCAAAAGCAGGTATGGTTTTTTAAGTCTTTATACTGAGCCTCTTAACTACTTCTTGTTGTTTCTTTGAAGATTGAGGGTCTCTGAAGATCAGTCTTGTGTGAGCAAGTTTTCTTTAGGCCCCTGAGCTTGACATTGCAGGCTTCATAGTCAGTTTTGCAGCTCCTGCACTTGCCCTTTGCTTATCTGGCTGCGCTGAGCCAGGCTTCTTGTCGAATCACTTGCTGACTCTTTATCTAAAGGTAGGTAGGAGGGGTGGTTGTAGATTGTTGTTATCATTAACTGCCATGCATCAGCCAAAGTGCCATCTCTTGGCTCTTTGAGTAGAGGAAACCCCTGGTCTTCAGAGACTCAGGTTTTGAAGTCTTCTCATTAGATTAGGTGGGAGTGTGTCAGTGAATGTACCTGTTTCTACCATTCTCACCCACCTACCTCCATCCTTGCCTGCATCCCCATCCTAACACATACACACACACACACACACCAGAATTCTTAGTTTCTAAATTTTTTAACTGACTGACCCGACTTCCCTCTCCTTTTTTTTTTGATTTGCTGGAGGTCCTGCCTGTGTACAACTCCAGCCCTTGCTGGGTTTATCAGGCCTAGTTAGAAGGAAGGTCTAGCCACAGTGCCATCTAAGGAGTGAAGATCTCTGTCCTTCCTTAGATGACAGTACCCTGATGCATGTGGTGGGAAGACCCTAACTTCTCTTTTAAGGTAGCAAACTTCCTAAAACATTTTCCTGCTTGATTTCAGCTTGATTATGAGCTGTGTGGAGAGGAGTTATGTCTGCTGTCTTCCTCTGTAGGGAAGGGGAGTCTGGTGGAGTCTGTTAACATGTCTGACGTTACAGTGCAGCCATCTGTTGCTTCCCTCCAGGTAGTGTGCCGTCCCTGGCTGCTGGGCTCCTCTTCGGGGGTTTAGCAGGCCTGGGTGCTTATCAGCTGTCTCAGGATCCCAGGAACATTTGGGTTTTCCTAGGTATGTATTCTTCGTTGTCTTCTTAGGGTGGTTATGTATCCAGCATACCCCTATCCAGAAGCCTTGGTGGGATGTGTCAAGTTCTGCATACTCAGTGATGGTTTTATGGCTTCTGCCGAGTCCTAGGAGGTTTTAAAATGGGGGTGGGGTGGGGGAGAATTGTGCTGGTTTCTGTTTATCTTTTATATTCAGAATATGGAAGGGTTCCTATACCTGATGAATTTATTCACCCAATAAAATTAGGTTTTGAGGTTGCCCCCTGAAGACTGTCTGCTTCAGCATTTCTAAGATATCACATGTCTGGGTTAGGTTCACATTGGTGTTACATTTTCCCATTTGCAAATCACCCTGTAAGCAGTCAGCTAAATGTACAGGCTGTGCCTTCAAAGAGTTTTCAGCTTAATTGGGGAAGTAAGACATGGGCATAAAGCAGACTTCATGGGACTGGAAAAGAACTCTGAGCAGCAGGCACAGGGAGGGATGGGGGAAAGGAAGACCCTTATTGGGGTGGCTTCTAGCACGTTGCTCTTGGGCTCCATCTGCATGTCAGATACTGCTAGAAGGTGTAGGTTCCTCAGTGCCTCCACAGACCACAGTGTGAGAACAAAGGCAGTGTGGAGCGGGGAGAAGCATGGTAACAGGGTCGTATTTGGCAGCTGTGGGTTGGGAGAAGTCACTATGGCTGATGGGTGGGCAGAGAGGGTGGGCGGGTTCCAGCTCTGCCTGGCAGCGCCCTCCTCTCCTGTGCTGCAGAGTGGCTGTCAGCCTACTTTCACTGTCTGATTCCACTCCCCACTCTCAGCAACTGACCTCACAAGAGAAGAGACAGCAGCGATCAGGGCTCTCTGAAGCCACCCATCTCCACTCCTTCCCTTTGCCTGTTTCTCTCCCCTTCAAAGCCAGTGCCTCCACCTGGGTGTGGGTCTCTTCTCCAGAACTTTCCGCCAGCAAGGATCCTTCCTGTCTCTTGTTTGCATTCCCCCTTTAGCGTGATCCCTCCCATTGATGTTGACATGTGCTCTTCTCTCACCATTCTTTTTAAAGGACCTCTGGTGCCCCCATTTGCTCACTTGTTTGCCTTTTCCTTCCTTTTCAGCAACTTCTCTTAAAACACCATTGCTACTCCCTGTCTCCATTTCCTCTCCTCTCACATGTCGTGGGCTGTGTCAGTCTCCATCCCTGTTCTCTGTGTCTCCCCAGAGATGCCAGTGGCCTGTGTTGTACACAATCCAGCATGTTTTTCGGCCTGTTAGCTGTCCTCAACACAGCTAACTAACCATTCTCCATGCTGCTGGTTTTCCTTTTTAGCTTCTTAATCTCTTTGCCCACATTTTTTCCTTCCTGGGCATTAAATACTGAAATCCTTTGGGCCTGGCCCTTTTCATCTTCTGTATACTCTCTCACCTGACAATGTCATTGGAGCCCAGGCCTTTAATTACTATCTCTCTTCCACACTGTACTCTTATGTGTACAGTTGCTCACTCGAGATATTTCAGGTATCTCACGGTATCCGCCCAGACTTGACCCTGTGATCTCGGACACACCTTAGGTTTTGTCCTCTGTCCACTCAGGTCTTGGTTGCTAACTTCCCCCAGCCTTTGTAGTTCATCAGTAGTTCCTGGCAACACTGCTTCCTGCACATACCCTGAGCTGTCCTCTTCTCCATCTCCTCAGCCACCATCCTTCACCCAGTTATCTCTTGCCCTGCTTTCACGAGGAAGTTTCTTCATCAGTATTCCTAGCATTCTCCAGTTTAACTTTAGTTTGTTCTCCAATTATATTTTCCAAATGCAACTCTGTTTATATTTATCGCTGCTTAATACATTTTCATAGCTTCTCATCACTCTTAGGATGAAGACCCGATCTCTGATACGGTCTTCAAGGCTCAGTGTGGTTTGGCCCCTCTTCCTCACTAATTGTATTTTGATTTCTATGCCACCCTGGCCTTTTACTTCCCTGGCCTTTTACTTCCCATGTGCCATGCTCCCTCTCACCACAGGGCCTCACAAATACTGTTTCCTCTGCCTAGAATTGGCTTTTCCCCTTTCAGCTCATTAACTCCTGCTGTAATTCCAGATCTCAGCCCAATGTTGATTTCCTTGACTAAGCCTTGCAGTAATCTCCTGAATAGGTTGATCCCTCTATTATATTTTTTATGTAACCTTAATTGTACCTATAGGACAAATTATACTTTGTTTTTATTTTGTGCAATTCTTTAAAGTCTACCCCATCAGATTTGAAACACTGTAAAAGGGCAGAGGCTGTTCTTGATGATCCTTTTATTCTTCAGCACCTGGGAGGTACTTTGATTGACATCTGGTGGGAAGAGTGTATAAGGTAGAGGAAATCATATTTGAAAAACTCTTTTTTTTTTTTTTTTGAGACAGAGCCTCAAGCTGTCCCCCTGGGTAGAGTGCTGTGGCATCACATTTCACAGAAACCTTCAACTTCTGGGCTCAAGCCAGTCTCCTGCCTCAGCCTCCCAAGTAGCTGGGACCACAGGCACCCGTCACAGCACCCGGCTATTTTTTGGTTGCAGCCGTCATTGTTCGTTTGGCAGGCCCAGGCTGGATTTGAACCCACCACCTTAGGTGTATGTGGCTGGTGCCTTAGCCACTTGAGCCACAGGCGCCAAGCCTTGAAAAACTCTTAATAGCATTTTTGAGAAAACTAAGACAGAGATGGCTAATGTGTGGGTTTTGTAGAAGAAGAGTGGTGAGAGAAGAGGCCAGGAGGGCAGGTTGGTCCCAGGCTGTGAAGGGCCTTATTTGGCCAGTCTTTATGCTTTGACCCTTCCTGTGGGGAGCCTGGAAGCCTCACCTACCTGGAGAGGGACGAATAAGAGCAGGATGGGGCCTGGGCCTTGAGTGATAAGTGGAACTTTTACCACTTCTGTGTTTTTTTGCATAAAAGATGTAATGAATGACTTTTGACGTTTCTCTTTTGTCTCTTTCATCAGCTACATCTGGGACCTTGGCTGGCATTATGGGGATGAGATTCTACCACTCCGGAAAATTTATGCCTGCAGGTTTTATTGCAGGTGCCAGGTACTTCCCATTCCATCACTCTTAATTGGTTGAGAGTTCAGTTATTGCCCAACTAACTTTATGCATTAAAAAATTTGCTTGTTTTAGTAAGCCTGATGCTAGGCATCACTTAAAATTATTTAATTTATACACCAATAGGAAATGCTGGTTTAATGCCACAGTGGCATAAGTGTACCATTTCTCTATGGAAATGTTCTCATGTTTTCTCTCTGGTCATCCTGGCTCCTTCCTGCAGTGGCAGAGGCTTTAGTTTAAAGCCATGACTGCTGTTCTTTGTGTGACTTGCAGGGGAAGCTCCATATTTCTTAGCTGAATAGGTGTTGTCATTGAAAGTTTTGCTAAAAGGGAATTTTGATTGAATCTAATTTACTCTGATTATAAAGCCTAAGCCAAATTGTTTCTTTACATCATTAAGTAAAATAAAGACATCCTAATGGCAGGGGAGTTTTAAAAAATATGTTTCAGTAAAAGATTGTGTACTTTACTTTGATCATAATGATGCTGTCAAGCATAATGCTTTATACTTGAAGTGGAAGAGTCAGTGCAGACCAAAGACAAAGGCAGCAAACGAGGAGGTGGAGATCTGCCACCAGTTAACTCTGTGACTGTGGGAGGCCTTGGTCTCCCTTACACTTTCTTCATCTCTTCAAATTATTGGCAGTTAGATCTGGAACTGCAGCTCACATGTGATTTTAAGACCTTGGGTATTTTTTTTCTTTGGTTCCTCTATGGGTGGAAGTTTTATTCATCTTTGACTACTCTGTCCTGGAACCTCCCTGTTCTGTCATTTCCCTGACTTTTTTTTGTTTCTTTTAAACAGTTTGCTGATGGTTGCCAAAGTGGGAATTCATATGTTGAGCAGACCTCATCAGTAGTGATCGTGTCCTAGCTTGGACTCATGAAGAATTAAAAATCTCTAAACTTTTACTGTTTTCAGTGTATCAAGAGAGAAAAGCACAAGATTTCTGTATCTCTGACATGCTACTTTAAAAAAAAAAAAAAAGACACTGAACTTGATGGGAAAATTCTCAGCCTTTAGCGTTATAACCCTACACAGGTGACAAATGTATAACACAAAGCTTAACAAAACACTCATACAGTTTGATTCTTATATACTGATGTTATCTCTTTCTGTTATCTATTGAGTAAAATTTCAAGGCGCAAAATTTTAGGTATCAACATTGGGCACCCTGAAACCTCGTGCCCTAGTCCCTTAAAAAATTCTGTTCAGGGGAACAGAATGAAAAAAATCTCTTAGGAGATTTAGGATATCTGTTCTTTTGCTTATCTTACAGCACAGACCTACTTTGAAATTATGTCAAATGAAATATGTAATATCAGTGAAAATAAAGTTTACTATGAATAATAGTTTCTAATGGTCTCTTTATTGCCAGCACTGTGAGCGTAATATGTGATGTGGCTAGCAGGAAGATAAACATGAATATATTTAGTTAATATTATACTTAGGAATTACCCATTTTGAGTAATTTAAGGACCAAGGAAAGTTACTATTTGATTATATGTTGTGTTGAGGATTATTTTAAAAATGATCTGTGAGGATGTGCAAGATTAAGACTTGCGTAAAAAATAATTTTGGGTTAGCTAGTTCATCTATAAATGGAAAACTAAGATTTTCTAGAGCTAATTTAGTCTCTACATTGGATACATTAACTACATACTGGTACCTTTTCATTTTTTTTCAGCATTAAGAATTAACTGAATGGGGCAGTGCCTGTGGCTCAAGGAGTAGGGCGCCAGCCCCATATATCATATACGGAGGTGGCAGGTTCAAACCCGGCCCCAGCCAAAAAAAAAAAAAAAAATTAACTGAATCTAGTACTACTTTCTTTGGTTTTCATTCCTTCTTTAAAAAGGAAAGGATATTTGCTACACACCTGTATCCTAACTGATATTGGTTTAGAATATAATTCAGGTGCTTACTTTATGTCTTTGCTTAAAGCTCTTTGAAAGTAGTCCTAGCATCCGTGCACACATGCTGACACTTGGCTTTGACAATAAGGGCACTTGTGATGAGACAGGCTGTCCAAAGTCCCCACCCTCCTTAGGTTCCACAGATAAGGTTTTGAGCTGCATTGTCAGTCCTGTGCCATGCAGTGTCTCCAAAGGGCACCTGTTTGGACCACCTTCAGCCCTAAAGGAGGGACCCTAGCAGACCCCGAATAACAAAGTTCCATGGAGGTGGGAATTAGTTTAGCTGTAAGGTAGATACTTGTGTGACTATTTGATCCCCAGTCATAAGCTCTGAAAATTCTGAAGCTATCCACAGATGGGTGACCGGTGTTCATCACCTGGTGACACTGATGATGCCCTTGCCAAGACCCCACCTCCCCTTCCCCACCCAGATTCCTGAGTATTTACTGTCCTGAGGATTGTGCTGGGTCCTAGAAATATGCGAAGAGCAAACCATGGTGCCCTACAAGTCTAGTGGAGGAGGCTAAATATAAACAGATAAAGGTGGTACTGATATAAGTGCATAACAAGGCGATACACATCACAGTGGGGGCACAAGGAAGAGTCAGGAGAGGCTTCACCAGGGAGATGATATTGTTAAGCTGAGCCTTGAAAGGTGAGGAGTTCACAGGCGAGGACACGAGCAAATGTTGGAGGTAGAGGGAGCAAAACATACAGAGCCTCAGAGGCATGACGGTATCTGGCACAATCTGGACAGGAGATGTAATGCTTTTCAATGGAATGGATGTTTACTAGTTTACCATTCCCCTACCGATAGAGCTACGTCTTGTTTAAAGCCTTTTGCTCTGTAGTATTACAAAGAATGCTGTACCAAGGCGCATCACTAGATCCAGCTGGTGCACATGTGCAATGAATCTTGAGGTTATATTCCTGAAAGCTGAGACAAAGTGTATGAGCCTTCAAAATCGTGGTTGCGCTCCAAAGATCTTACACCAGGTTTACACTTCCACTGATAATGGTTCAGAGATTTTGTTTTTCTGCCTTTGCTAATATTATGTAATCAGGTTTTTGTTTGTTTGTTACCTCTGACATATTAAGCCAGGAGTCTACCTGCACACTTTTTCTGTAAAGGACCAGATAGTAAATAATTCCAGCTTTGCAGGACACAGTCTCTCCCAACTATTCAACTCTCCTTCATAGAGCAGACACAGCCACAGATGGGACATAAACTAATGAGCGTGGCTCATTCATATAATTTCCACATACCACAAAATAGTGATCTTATTATGAGTTTTTGCAGCCATTTGAAAACCATTCCTAGCTTGTCTACACGAGGGACTGGATTTGGCTCACTGACCACCGATGCCAGCCTAGGATCTACACCAAAAAAGTTACCTAATGATCCTAATCATTTAAGTCATTGAGCATCTTTTCATATACTGAGGTATTTATTTCTGTGAGCTGCCCTTTCATATTTTATGTCCATGTTTTTGGTTATTTTCTTATTGAAAACATTGAACACTTGGGCAGCGCCCGTAGGTCAGTGGGTAGGCTCTGGCTACCTACACCAGTATAGGTGGGTTTGAACTCGGCCCAGGCCTGCTAAACCACAATGACAACTGCAACAAAAAAAATAGCCAGGCATTGTTGTGGGTGCCTATAGTCCGAGCTACTCAGGAGGCTGAGACAAAAGAATTGCTTAAGCCCAAGAGTTAGAGGTTGCTGTGAGCTGTGATGGAACATCACTCTACAGAGGGTGAGAGTAACTAAGTGAGACTCTGTCTCAAAAAAGAAAAAAACAAAACATTGAACACTCTATAATAAAAAAGTTGTATTCTTTATTGAAGATACTTTCCCCTGATTTATTACTTTCTTTTAATTTTATTTATGCCTTTTTTTGGTAGAAGTCAGATATATTTTTATGGAACCAAATTCAACATGTTTTGTTTATGGCATTCAGATTTTGTGTCTCACTTCAGAAAACATTTCACATTTCAAGACGGTAAAATAAAATTCTCACATTTCTTTTCAATATTTATGTAGTTTTTTTTAGGTTTCTACTTTTTAAATTAATAGTGTGCATATTTAAGGGGTACCAGGTGATGTTACAATCTTTGTGTACATCGTAGGAAGGTTCAATCAAGCTAATTCACATCTAGCACCTTGCCAATTTAATTTTTTGTGGTGAGAACATTTTCATTTATAAAGAATTTATTTTTGATGGTATAAATTAGCGATTTGATTATTTTCTCTAAAAAACAGCTATTACTTTAATATGATCTGTTGAATAGTGCATCTGTTTCCTCCTTGCTTTGAAATGCCACCTTTATCATGTACTGAATCTCTCTGTTTGGGATGGATTGGAAGGGTTTCCTAGCCCCTTCCATGGATTTATCTATCTTTTGTCCCAATGCCAAATTGTATTAATTTTATTGATTACTGTAGCTTTTTTTAATAGTCCAAGTACATTATTTTTATTTATTTATTTATTTTTTACTGAATGGTAACTATGTACATTAATGCACTTCTGGGGTACAGTATGGTGTTTTCACATACAATCCAAAACACGTCCATCAAACTGGTTAACATAGCTTTCATGTCATTTTCTTAGTTACTGTGTTAAAATGTTCATATTCTACTCTTAGAAAGATTCACTTGTACCCTTGTAAGATAAACCACAGAATGATCCCTCCAATTCCCCTCCCTCCACTGTAGCTTTGTAATATATTTTGATATTTGGTAGAGCAAGCCTGTCATTGTTCCTTTTCAGACTTTTCTTGCCACAGTTGCTCTTCCAGAAAAATCTATAATTAGCCTTTTAATTTACTTGGGATCTTAGTGTGATTGCATTGAATTGTATAGATAAATTGAAGTAGGGACTAGAAAGCTTTAAAATATTTACTCATCAATACAGGAACATTGTGTGTCCCCTCATTTAGTTCAGGGCTTTTGTGTGTGTGTGTTTTTAATGTTTTAAAGTAGGAGTGCCCAACCCGGGGAGGCAGGGCCATGCTGATTTTGTGAGGACAATTTTTGCTTATCTATGGTATAGGATATCAGGAAAAGTATACACAGACCTTTTTTTTGCTAATCAGCTTTCGTTAGTATTTAATGTATGGCCCAAGATAACTTTTTCTTCCTATGTGTGGCAGAAGAGAAAAAGGTTGGACATCCCTTTAAAAATAAAGTTTTGAATATCTCAAAAGAAAGAAAACTATGGGCTCGGTGCCTGTGGCTCAAGTGGCTAAGGCGCCAGCCACATACATCTAAGGTGGTGGGTTTGAATCCAGCCTGGGCCCACCAAAACAGCAATGATGGCTGCAACCAAAAAAATAGCCAGGGCGTTGTGGCGGGTGCCTGTGGTCCCAGCTACTTGGGAGACTGAGGCAGGAGACTCGCTTGAGCCCAGGAGTTGGAGGTTGCTGTGAGCTATGATGCCATAGCACTCTACCCAGGGGTACAGGTTGAGGCTCTGTCTCAAAAAAAAAAAAAAAAAAACTATGAAACTATTAGAAGAAAACATAGGGGATAAGTTCCATGACATCAGTCTAGACAAAGTTTTTTGGGTAAGACTTCAAAACTACAGCTAACAAAAGCAATCCTTTTAGGGTCTTATTCACATGGTTCTTTACATTTTAAGTAAGATTACTGTGGGATAGTTTCTTATTATAAGTATATTTTCTAACTGGATATCAACCTGAACAAAATTAACTCCTGGCATTAATGTCAATGTTTCTATCAATTCACCCCACCACATTTACTTGCTTTAGGTTTTTATTATCTACTCTTTAGTTAATCATGTGGCTTCGTGCTATAGAAATAAGGTGTTTGTGATCACTGGGAAAATTCAGCATAGTTCTAGAAACATTAGACAAAGTAATAAGTGAAATAAATGAGAGGTCTAAATTAATAGTAGAAAAGGAAAGAAATTAAAACACTTAACAAAAAAAAACCACTTTGAACAGCTAATACAATTACCTATCTAGAAAATCCAACACAAGTAACTAAAAACCTATTGAACTAGCAAAGATCTATAAAGCAGCAAGAAATAAGATCAGTACCAAAACCAATGGCTTTCTTTTTTTTTTTTTCTTGGCCGGGGCTGGGTTTGAACCCACCACCTCTGGCATATGGGGCCGGCGCCCTACTCCTTTGAGCCACAGGCACCACCCCAAAAAAACCCATGGCTTTCCATCAGTAGCCTCATCAGTTCTCTCCCATGCTATTGCTAATACTCAAGTCCGAACCTCACCACCTCTTAGCAGGTTATTTAAATAATCTAATAGGCTCCCTGTTTTCATGATTTGGTCCAGTGATTTTCTCCCCGGCAGGCAGAGGTATATTTCAAGTATAATTAGACTCCTGGACTTAAAACTACTCGGTGGTCTCTCACAACATACATCTCTATAACATCCTGTCTTCTCTTAAAAGCAC